CCCCCCCCCCCCCCAAAAAAAAAAAAAGAAAAAAAAGAATGGAAAAAATTGCTAGCTGCATCAATGCCGCGGAAAAACAAGATAATTGATCGAAACATCAAGGCACATTACCTTTAAAGCCATAGACGCAGGCGCCGGGATAGCACCTACTAATGGAGGTGGATGCATGTCCGGTGGCCCAATCCACAAAGGAATATGCCGTGCTCTTTGCATCAATAACTGCATCAGCTCGCCACGGGCCAGTAAACCAGAACGCTGTGTTGCATACCTCATACGACGTAACTTTTCAATGTCCTCCAACAATTTCCTCACAAAATTGGCTTCCGCTTCGCATGCTTCTCTGGCTGCAAGATTTTAGTAGGAATAAGTGGAATTCTTTGCCATTTCTTCTTGCCATGAAAAAGTCACTGCTAAAAAGAAATTCAGTCATGTTTTCTTTGGGTTTGAGGCTATTCAAGAATCAGCTCGGTTATAAGGCTGTACTATAGCACTGAATTTAGTTTAGAAAGCTGGTTCACAAATACGTATCAGGCCTTACAAAATTGTAGCCAGCTAGCGGACATTTTTAGGGAGGTTATTTTCTGACTGACAATCTCCCTGTCACTCAAGGGAATTATGTATGGATGATTATCCTAGCACAACCACAATGCTGATAGGCAGTCCGCATCGGTAGCGTTGTAAATCACAGAGTTCGTCTCCACAATTAAACAGCCAATCTCTCGACAATTCTATCATCTGTACTGATGGTAAATTGCAGTCATGAAATTGTTTGAAGCAGCCCTTGGGGGAAAGCATCGACATCTCAGTCAAAGAGTGGTCACCGCTGGTGCGTGCGACCCCTTAGTCCATTCTGTGTGCCTCTGCCTTTCACACAATCTGAAGACCGAAGGAGTTGGAATTTTGACGAGTAAAAGATGCCTGTCAGTTTATTCGTTGAGCCTCATGATCACTGCAAGCTGCTATAAAACTCACGTAAAATAATGTATATACACATCTGAAGAACTGAAAAACAGCAAAGCAGACCGTTCATGTAGAGATTAATCACTTTTCCTCGAAGTGCACCATTGAGCTTGCACCCAATGCTCAATCTATTCCGGTCAACTAGGGCTTGCAGCGCAGCAAGAGTTTCGTTCACCTTCTGCTTCAGCTGAATCACTGCTTTCATCTGAAAATCCCCGAAAGCTGCTGGCACATTACAAGGCTTACAGTAACAGTGTTTTTGTTTTTACCTTTCGGAATGCAACAAAACAATATCTCAATTAAAATTATTA